CATGGTTTACCAACCATTCAAAAAATGGCACGAAAATTGGAACTACACTGAACCGAGTACCTATCAAAGTCAATTTATGTACGAAAACGACAAATATTCAAACATTGTTTATTCCAACAAGTCGATCGTTGCAAGATAAATACAGCCTATATTTTACGTGAATACAGCAGTGAATAGCTGAAGTAACGTAAACTCGTCGATTTATAGTAATCAACTGTTTTACTACAGAACTCCCCAAAGATTGCAAACTGTTTTGGCTGGTCTTTCATCAATTCCAATCAAATAGTTGCCAATATAATCGTACTGCGAATTAACCGTTGCGCCAGGAAGAATATCTTCCAGTTTTGGTCGAATTATAATGTCAGATGCGATGCCAACATCTTCAACCGGCTTTCCTTTATGATCGCCACTACGGACAAGTGCTCGATGACCTACAGTCATTTTGTTGTAAAATGTATCCTTGGTATGAGATGTCAACTCACGTGTGAATGGCATTGGTTTAAAGTCTGTCGGATCATGATTGATAAGTTTTGGATCTAAAATCCAAATATTTGCACCAGAACCAGCTGTTGTGACATCTTCACCAAACACTGTTCCAATTTTAAACGACTGCACAGTTCCTGTCATGATTTCACATGCAGAAGCGCAGTCACCACTGGTAAATACACCCATTGGTTTGGTATAAACCTGATTGTAAGTCATGGTATTTTCTGGATCCGTAAGATCGTGCAATACCGAATATTTGTTTTTGGGTGATATTTTAAGCCAAGCATCATGGGACGCTTTCGAATCTATGGGTGGATGTACAAACATATTGTATGTGACGTCGTTCCTAAGATACTTCACTTTAAATGGCTCAAGCTTGCTCTTGAATAGCTGTGGAATGCCATTTGCAAAATTTGCACACCCACCACCACCTTCACGAACATCGATCAAAACAGAATTGGTGTCTTTGAGCACTGTCTTCAATAATCTTTCCACTTCACGAATTGCTTTAAGAACATCTCGTGTGTTTGTTGTGCGAGATGTGGGCATGAACGATGTCAGTTTGATTATTCCCATGTTTTGGTCGTCAGGTCTCCAAATTGCCCAAGATAGTTCGAGTATACTCGTTTCATGAAATGTAATCTGTAAACCACGTTTTGACAATCGTCCTGTATCTTGATATTGACTGCTTTGATCCCGCTTTCGAATACGGCGAGCAGCGACCAATGGTTTGGTAGACTGTGAACTTGTGGTACGATCATCGACTGTTTTGATTGACAATGCATGACTATTGGCTTTTACAGCAACTGTATTTTGTAAACGTATATCAAGATTCACACCTGTCAGCTGTGTGTAAAGTTTGCTCGAGTACTCCCAACAGGTATGTCGATATGCAGACATGTACGGTACATTGACTTCGTATATGATGTCGCCACGAGATTTAAATTTAAGCTTGATAAAGTCTTCATCAGGGAGTTGGGTAAAAGCTGCATGTCTGGAAGTCAAGTATCTTAATGCTAAACGCTGACTATGAGACTCGGTGGATCCACCAATGGCATTTTGATGCTTTTTTTTCCATTTGTAAAAAGTGAGGTCGTTAATGCTAAGAAGTTGATCCCCAACATCGATTCGATTATAGGCGTTATCACGTAGTAAGTCAGATATTCCACGATTGACGAGTTTACTGACGACGATTGTTGGGTTTTTGATCATATTGCCTGGACCATCAATGAACTGAAAAGAAATTCCCGTGGTAACGAAAAAACAACTATACGGACCAGCTAATGTCATGGTAGTATGTCCGTCGCGAGCTCGAGTGAATGTATCCAATAACTCAAGCTGGAGCTGTTCATCAGTAAGGTTCCGATATTGTTTTG